TGCACCTGTGAGGCCAGCATATAATACTATAAACATGTGCAAACAACAAGCATAAAGATACAGGCTGCTGTGGTACTCTGCTCTGCTCTCTGCTGCATGCTATTGCCGATGTCTTCACGTGTGCATTCTTTAACCTGAAAACCTCACTCACAAAAATCCCCCAAGCAGGCTGACACCTAAATCTTTGAGAATCAACTTGTCAGGTTCTATAAAATATCCTGCTGGGTGTTTAACCTAGACTAGACTGAATATATGGAGATAACTGGTATTTTAAAAATAGTGTGATTCAAAAATTAGTCAATATGTCTATAAAATTTATGAGTCTACATTGTTCTGTATGTGAAAAGAACAATGCCAGAATAGTAAGTCCCTATGTGACTCTTACACAGCACACCTGTGAAAGTCTGCAACTTGAATATTTGTAAGCCAGGAACTTACTGTACCATACTATCTGGAAGTTTGCAGTTTTATAACCTTTGAAACCAGAAAGTAAGGAAACTTACTTCTCTTTCCCATCTTGCAAGATGGTAGCCAAAAAAACTGAGATGCCAGACACTAAAGAGAAGAAACCCAAAGCCAAGAAGGCTGCTGCCAGTGGTATTGGGTAAAAAGGGTAAGGTGAAGGCAAAATGTCCAAGAAGGGACAGCCCCACTGCAGCCAAAATCCTGTCCTGGTTAGAGGAATTGGTAGATATTCCTGATTTGCTATGTATCCCAGAAAGGCATTGTACAAGAGAAAGTACAGAGCTTCTAAATCAAAGGTTGAGAAGAAAAAGAAGGAGAAAGTTCTTGCTACAAACACAAAACCAGTCAGTGGGGACAAGAATGGAGGTACCCAGGTAGTTAAGCTTCAAAAAAATGCCTAGATATTACCCTACTGAAGATGTACCCCAAAAGCTCTTGAGGCATGGCAAGAAACCCTTCAGTCAGCATGTGAGGAAATTTTGAGCTAGCATCACTCCCGGTACCATCTTGATCATCCCCACTGGGTGTCACAGAGGCAACAGAGTGGTCTTTCTGAAGCAGCTGACCAGTGGCTTGCTACTTGTGACTGGGCCTCTTAGCCTTAATCATGTTCCTCTATGAAGAACACACCAGAAATCTGTCATTGCCACCTCTACAAAAATTGATATGAGCAAAGTGAAAATCCCCAGATAACTCACTGATGCTTACTTCAAGAAGAAAAAGCTGTGGAAACCCAGACAGCAGGAGGGTGAGATCTTCAACATCCAGAAAGAGAGATACCAGATTTCAGAGCAGCACAAGGTAGATCAGAAAGTGGTGGACTCACAGATTTTAGCAAAAATCAAAGCTGTTCCTCAGCTCCGGGGCTAGCCATGATCCATTTTTTCTCTGAGAAATGGAATTTGTCTTCATAAATTAGTGTTCTAAATTTCTTACTAAGAACCTAATTAAATAAATGATACATTAAAAAAAAGAAGAAACCAGAAAGTAGGATTCTTCTGATCTTGTTTTTTTTTTTTTTTGTTTTGGTTTTTTTTGGCGGAACCGGGGATTGAACTCAGGCTCTTGCGCTTGCCAGGGAAGTGCTTATTCCACTGAGCCATCTCCCCGGCCCTCTGATCTTGTTTTTTTCACAACTATTTTGGTTATTTGGGGTCCCTTGATTTACTATATGAATTAAAAGGATAGCCTTTTCTGTTCCTGTAAAATTAAGTTTGAAAATCATTTTGAGTGATACTGTCATTTAATAATATATTCTATTACACCAACATTGGATGTCTTCTGATTGGGATTTTGATATGGACTGCACTAAATCTGTAGGTAATTCTGGGTGTCATTATCACCCTAACAACAGTTTTTATTACATGAACATCAGAAAGCTTTCCACTTATTTATATCCTCTCACTTTTTCATCATCATTTTGTAGTTCTTAGTGGCTAAGTCTTCCACCTTTTTGGTTAATTCTACTTCTAAGTATGTTCTTTTGGTGCTATTGCAAATAGAGTTTCTTAGTTTTCCTGCTGTTGTATTTGGGATTAATTTTCTTTTTGCATTGTTTGCTGTTGGTTATAGAAATGTAACTAATTTTTCTGTGTTGAGTTTTTATTCTGCAATTCCACTTTTTATCCTGTAGCAGTTTTGTTTTGGAGGAAACTTCAGCATTTTCCATATGTAAGATCATGTTATCTCTAACAATTTTGTTTTTTCCTTTCCCACTTAACGCCTTTCACACCTTTTGCTTGTATGACTCCTTTGCCTAAGACTTCTAGAACTATTGTTGAAATCAGACATGATGAAACTCTGTCTTGCTCCTGATCTCAGATGTTTTCAATACAAAGCATCTTTTTTTTTTTTTTTTTTTTTTTTAAATACAGAGTCTTGCTGTGTAGCTCAGGCTGGACTTGAACTCATTATGTAGCCCAGGCTGGCTTTGAATTCCTGGTGAAACTCCTGCCTCAGCTTCTATAGTGCTGGGTCAATTTTTAAAAAACAAGCTGATTATGATGTGCTTTGGTTTGATTTTTTGGTAGTTTACCTGCCTAAAGTTTACTAACCTCTTAGAAAAACCAGGCTTTGGCGGGCTGGGGGGAGTTTGGGTGAAGAGGCCAGTGTATTCTGTATCTGAGATGTGAACAGCTATGTTTGAAGACTGTGGGAGATGGTATTTTTTTTTTTTTTAAATCTAGCTACTACATTTTCCATTCTACAGGTTTTTCCAGAACTTCGCTATTTCCACTGAAAAGTAGATCGTGTGTTCTCTCTCGTTGAACTGTTTTTCCTCCCCCTTATTTTTTTTTTCGGTGCTGGGGTTCAAATCAGGGGCCTTGCAAATTCTAGGCAAGTGTTCCTCCCTGGAGCCACATTACCAGCCCCTCTCACTAAACTGTTGGCAGACCTTCGTGAATCCTTGAATTAATAAATCAGGATGCAAGTATCACTGTGATATGTTTGAAGCTAGATCAGAAGGATAATTTTTTTCCATAATTTTATTGATAAACAAATAGCAATGAGACTGTTTCAAATCAAATTGGTAGGACAGTTTCAATAATTAACACATTGCATACACTCCTCCCAGTGGTTAATTGCTGTACCAGAAGGATAATTTTTTGATTCTTGGGACTTACACCTTTGGGACTCTGTGCTACCTTGTAAGACACATAGCCATCATGAGCTGCTATGCTAGACAGACCATTTAAAGAGAATACAAGCAACATGGTTTCATGAGAAACCCCACCTATTGTAGTTCCAAACTATTCAAATTTTCCTAATTCAAGCACTAGTCATGTTAGTGAGGAAGCCTGTGAGATGACATCAGCACAAGCTACCATCTGATTGACATCATGGGAAAGATTCCAAGTGAGAACTGCCAAGCTGAAATTGGGCACACAATACTCAGAACAGAGAGAGATGATATCTAAAAATGCACTTTTTTGAGCATGGCGTGGTGGCACATACCTGTAATCTCAGCACTCAGGAGGCTGAGGCACAAGGACTGCCACATGTTGGGGGCCAGCCTGGGCAACACAGTGAGTCCAAGACCAGCCTGAACTATATCGAGACTCTATCTCAAAAACCATAAACCAAACCAAACCAAACCAAACCCCTAAACAGTTTTTACTGTATTAAATTTGAGATATTTTTTAATATTCCATGCTGAGACTGTGATTGAGACAGGGCATAGTGGCACACACCTGGTAAGTGGAATACAGAATTTGAAATATTTGCAAGATAGTGAAATAAGATTTCAAAGCAGGAAAAGAATACATAATATGGACACATGGTAGCAAGGCCCACTGTCAGAAATAATTTATAATTTGGCAGTAAGTAAAGCCATAGAAGTGGTCACAATTGTCCATAGTAAGTAATGAATAAGACAAGAATCACCTGCAGAACTAAGGAATTTAAATATTTTAATTGCAAGGAGAAAGAGAACCTATGAAAGAATCTAGGAATGGTCAGAGACACAGAAGGAAAATCAAAACAACAGAGACATGAATATGTAGAGAAGAAAATGCTTCAAAATGATGGGAGTTGTTAATTATGATGGAACTGCTGATCAGTGAAGAAAAATGAGAAATCCTAATGTCCATTTCAGATAAGTTTAGTCTACTGAGGAAAGAGAAACCTTAACTCTAATGGGCTGAAAAATGAGTGGGAGACGAGGATACACACATAATAAATATAGACAACTTACTCACGCTACTCAAGTGCTTATGACTGAACTACATCTCCAAGCTAGGACAACTCTTCTGAGAAATTGGAAGTGAAGGCAAATAAAGAGGATTTAGATATTAAAAATCGGGCCAGCCTGATAGCTCAGCAGACTAAAGCACCTGCTTAGGCAGAGTGCAGTGGCCAGGATCCGATCCCTGGTGTGCTGTGCCAGCTCTGCCCGTGGGGCGTACTGAGACTGACTGAGACAGGGTGTGGTAGCACACATCTGTAGTCCTAGCACTTGGGAGGCTGAAAACAGGAGAATCACTACAAGTCCAATCTACGTTGTGAGGCCCTGTAGACCCTATCCTAAATACAGAAAAAAAATATAGATACTAAAAATTAGAGAAAAATGTTTTTATATACATATATTTAAAAGAATTTGTGTGTGCATTGATAGATTAGTCTTAAAATTACATTTTCATGGAATCCAGAATTGTGCCTTCAAAAAATGTGTCTGGTCTGATAAAAGTCTATTTTAATTCAACATCTGTGTGTCTCTTATCGTATCTAAAAGACTACAACACACTATTATCTACCATTCTTAGGCAAACTGATGAATTCATATGCTGCTGCTAGAAGGTTTATGGAATTTAAGGCAAGTAGACAGCCTCCAGTGATGGTGAACCTTTTAGAGTTTCCACTGATATAAACAGTCCACTGCACCATGCATGCCACAGGTTCACCGTCACTGGCTTTGATCCTACTGTTGAGTGTTGAAAAAAAATACACAGGTTATTTTAGTCATGAGTAAAATTTAACTCCTTAAATTGATTTGCCATTTAAGCTGAACTGGCTCGTAGTCTTTCTACTACACTTACCCGTTGATGATGAACAATATTTTTGTGCTCACGTGCTACGCGTGTGGCCCATTTCCGAGCCTCTTTATTTAGACTGTGCTCTTCTGTAGTTCCAGTTTCTGATTCTAACTGACGGCTCTACAACAAAGAGGTAACAGAGAGAAAAGTATTGTTATCCTTATTGCAACTATTACCACTCAGTAGCTGGACCAGAGGACCTTCACTTACCTAGCACGTCTACCTACTGTGGGAAGTGATGCCTCATGTCACAGAAAGTCAGTAGAAGACTAAAACCATGGTACAAAACCATAAACAACCACAAGGCATTTTACCTTGTATTGCCAAATGTGGGAGCTTCATCTCTAATACTATGGGCTAATTAAAAAAAAACCAAAACTGTAAAGGATGCTGGCTAATAAGTAAATGTATTCATTCTATGACATTAGAATCTTCTATAACATCCTTCTATGACATTAGAATTGCTGAAGAAATAGAAATGGAATCAACTTAAAGGAGTTTCAATGTGACTTAAAAAATCTTTAAATAAAAGAAGAGAACAAAACATTAACAACGGCACAATTCTGATCCCCTGAACCAAGATTCTGAATTTAATTTAGTGAGAGGGCTATCATTAACTTTCTACTAAACCTCAAACTAGGTTTTGCACTTTTGCTGGGCTTTAATGTCTCCATATGATAGGTAAGGGTAATATATCAAAGATCACAAAAAGTTACTTCTAGGTTCCAATTTTATGATTCTACTTCATACATAACAAAATTCCACATCTAAATCATGTAATAATTAAACCCCTCTGTACAAGAAACTCAAGAAAGTGCTTCATATAACATTTTTAAGACTCCACATACATTTTTTCCCCAATCAAAAATATAAACTATTTTTGTCTAAGGTTGTATGTTTAAATAAGTTATATTCTTATACCACTTCTTAAGAAGGATGCTCCAATTTGAAATTCTATCACTTCCTGCAAAAAGAAAAATGAAGGGTAGTTCTTAAATAAAATATTAATGATATAATTTTTTTATAGTTCAGAAAAGGACTGTCTTCACTATCCACATAAAGTTGCAAGTGAAATTTATGTCTTGAATGAAAGAAGCTGATGCTTTAAAACATAAAAGTTTTCAATGAAATGCAGAAAATTGATCAGATGCAGCTCTGGATTACAAAAATGACAGATTTCATCAGTTGTAGGCCATTAATCAGAAGTTCACATAGCTTTTTTTTTTTTAAATTTTATTTATTTATTTGAGAGAGAGAGAGAGA